AAAATGTATCTGCGTCATCTTCAAAAGTATAATGCATGTATAAGTATAAAATTTTACGTTATAATGGTCAAAAAAGAAATGTTTCGTTCTGAGAAAAGTTAGTGCAACAAGTCATGCACTTAGACATACCACCTTAAATGTGTATGTCCCAACTTAATAATAAATGACCCAAACTTGTGTAGTTCCTCTCAGAGTAAGGACTCCAAAGCGCTTTAGACTACAGTGTATCATACATCCATTCACACACACATCCACACACTGATGGTGACGAGCTACGATGTAGCCACAGCTGCCCTGGGGCGCACTGACAGAGGCGAGGCTGCTGAGCACAGGCGCCACCGGTCCCTCCGACCACCACCAGCAGTAATACAACAGCAGTAAATAAATGTTGGTGGCTGTAATGCTATCCGCGAAAGAATGCTAGTCCAAGCTACTACCAATGCTAGCCCAAGCTAATGCTAACTCGTTGGACAAGAGGAAAAGAACAAGGTATTTGATGCTCCAGGATAAACTGGGAATATCGAGATTTAAAATGAATGACACATAAATCATAGATTGCCTATTGCAGCATTTGCCCGACACTTTCTCCAGCCGTGGTGCTAGTTGACGGGGGGTGGGGTGCAGATCGTTTTGTATTTGTGCGTTTTCTATTTGGAGCTGATGACTGATGGAATTTCTGCTACGCCTGAGCCTAAGTAAGGGAGACACTATAGAGTTATCCGGGTACTGTACAACTCAAAGCCAGTCTTTCCACTCTAGGGCTTTATTATGGCATTGTGTTTGTCCCTTTATCAGGGCTCCTAGGCCATTTTGAGCCCCAAAAAAGTTTCATCTGACATACATGGGCTCAAAGAACAGTTTCTGATGTAAAAAAAAAAAAGTTTTTCTGCAAGTTTGATTAAAATCCATCCCGCCATTTATGAGATATTTTGTCAAATCTACAATGGGAAACAGGGAAAAAAACATCCTAGCCCCACCTTTAATCGGTAAAATAAAAGAAAATTAGCATCATCTGTCGGTTCAAAAAACGGTTTCTTCAGTCCACCAGTAAAATAAACAATCCTAGGCATCTTTGAGAGTTGTTAATCAGAATGCATTGTCCTTCAAATTCGTCACTAATTTCACAAATCTACGAGGGTCCCCCTTGCAGCGAGTCCCTAAGGCAGCGTACTTTATTTTATGAGACTGGCATGTCTTTTGTTTCGACCTCACATCACTCTCAGCGGGCTAAAATCAGCTCATAAACATTTACATCCTGCTTTTAAATCTGATAACAGTGGCAGTAACTTTCCCTGTAAAACCGTGGTGAACGTGTGTTTAACCTCCCCGACATCCCAGCTCTTCCCACATATATCAACATGTTTGAATTCATGACAGGATTACGGTCCGTCCTACTACATGCAGCAGTGTCTCTGCAAACGGACGCGGGCCTCGGCAGCTCCGCTGTGACTGATGCCAGAAGGCATCTGTATTTACATTAATAATTCAATATCCTGCTCATAATGGACAATTAATTACTTGAAGGGTGTCCTTCCTGGAATGATGGCTGTGTTTGGCTTTTTTGTGTATATCAGAGCAGTAATAAACCAAACCAATAGAGCGGCTACCCTCTTGCCTCTTAAACCCATCAATCTGTATGTGTTTTGGTTAATGGGAGGTCAAAAGATGTCAATTAGGGACAATTTAGATTGTTTATGCTAAAGTTTTACATTTAAGCAATAAAACAGCAGCAAATAAGTGGATCCTAGAGCTCCAGTTTATGTTTAACCTAGAAGAGCTTCTGCATAATACTTGGATTGATGACACAAAAGGATGATACTATTAAAAATCACTTAAATGCATTTACAAATTAAGCGTTTGCAGAACAAACAAGTGAAATTTTATAGTAAAACAAATTAAGGTTTCTGCAGAACATAATGCCTTCAAGTAATTACTTTCAGTATTTGTTAGATTTTCAAATGGTGATGTTTTAATCAGTCAAAACAAAGATTCTGCTTACTGATGTCTTTATTGTTCAAGTAGATTTGCATTAATTTTGCTTTAAAAAGCTGCTGACCTGTTGAGCGATGACTAATTTGCATTTGTCATTTCTTTGCTTCATTTGGACCGATGAAAGAAGTTCTTATCCAGGAGGTTATCAGTAGCCTGACCACCTGTTGGTGTGTATGACTGTGTTGTAAAGTGTCTTGGGGGGTTGTAGAACCTTAATGCACTTTCTAAATACAGGCCAATTGTTTACCACTGTTGGTAGATGGCCTGTATTTATACAGTGCATTCTAGGGCTCTACACCCCTCAGGGCACTTTACAGTCATTGACCCACACACATCCACAGTCATTGTGAAACTTACATACGCATGCAATAAGCTACAATGTAGCCACAGCTGCCCTGGGGTCAGTACACCAAACAAAACAAACCAAAGCTAAAATTTAAGGTGGAGCCTTTTAAAGATCACATAAAAGTAAAACTTTGGGGAAAACTCCACCACAAGTTGGAGTGAAAGTGTAGGCAATGGCTTCATCCTGATAATGTACATTCATTTTGAACTACTGACTTTTTTTTGTAGCATTTATAAAGTCCAGACCAGTTGAATCAAAATGCTTGCCTGGTTCACCGAGCAAATTATGCGATTTTATTATTAAGGGCCACTAGTCAATAACTACCTAGCTAGCATGTGCTAATAATGCTAGTAATTTACAAATCTCAATTAAGTTATGTTAGAAGCATCAAAGTTAGAGATATGGTTAAAGTCACATTAATTCATCACAAACTGGTGAAATTTATCTCCGCATTTGACCCATCGCGGTGGTGAGCGGTGGGCTGAAGCAGTGGCCGCGCTCTGGAACCATTTGGTGGTTTAACTCCTGAATCCAGCCCATTAAAGCTGAGTGTCAAGCAGAGAGGCACTGTTATGGTGTTTGGTATTTGAACCCCAATCTCCCAGTCCCAGGGCAGACACTCTACCACTAGGCCACAGAGAAGGAGCCAATAACATAGATCAGTGGTTCCCAAACTTATTTAGCCGCGCACTCCCTTCTATGTCCCGACCATGTTGACGCACCCCCCAGCCCCACATCAGGGCATGGCATATATAATATATATATATATATATATATATATATATATATATATATATATATATATATATATATCAGACGTCACGTGCGGAGGACACACACGCATGCAAAATATACTTGTTTTCAATTACGTTTATTGTGCCCACTTACATTTTCTTAGGCCCACCCACAAATGAGTTTCTGGCTACGCTAATGGTGACTTTTGACAGACTTCTCTGAGCTCAGCAGCCATTACACTTTTCACCTCACGCACCCCCTAGCAGCAGCTCGCGCACACCACACTTTGGGAATCCCTGACATAGATAAACACACGAATAGCATGACTGAATTATTTTCGTGAAATGATCAGGCTTAAAGTGTGTCACATCTAAAATGGACCGGGTGGAAACAATCCAACTTTCATTTTCATTGCAAATTTCACACTAATTTTGAATTTCTGGTCACTTCATTAACAAAAACATGACAATCTACAGCTTTTCAGTAAAGATAATTAGAAACCATGAATGGGTGAATTCTACACCCCCCTCTAATTATACCCAAACCAACAAGCTCAGCCCTCCATCATCACTTCATTGATCACTATAAATCAGGGGTGGGGAACCCTGGTCCACCGAGGGCCGCTCTCCAGCATATTTTAGTTTCAACCCTGCTTCAACACACCTGATTTCAATCAGTAGGTGATTAAAAGGCTTCTACAGAGCCTGATGAGTTGCTGAACAGGTGAATCAACCACTGAATCATAATTGTTGGAGTAAAGACCTGCAGGATACTGGTCCTCGAAGACCAGGGTTCCCCACGCCTGCTATAAACTAAATTAATTATTTATCAGAATTATATTGTCCATTTATTCATTAAGAGGGTTGTTGGCTTGTTTGTTATACCATTTCCAATTTGCATGTTTTAGTTTTAAAGATCTTTGAGATGAAACCAGTAAATAAGAATCTAAAAAAAACATTCCTGCTTTCTTTTGAATATTTAGACATTTTTAAACAGCTGGTGGGACGAAAATGAGTTGTTTGATGTGAGGTGGCATCTGGGTGAAACATTTTTCTGCTGTCTGGAGCAACAACAGGTCAAGTCATGACCAAAATGACTCACCCAATTAACCTGAGTGAGTGAGTGAGTGAGTCTGGAGTTGTTCCCCCTTTGGAGCAATCCGTTAAACATAATCAAACACCTGATCACTGTTGCAAATTTTATTTTGAAGTGAAATACTTGACAGAGAGGTTGGTCTCAGGGAGCTTCACTTCACAGACGCTCAACGTCCCTTACAGATCAACAGAATTTGATGACAAATCCTGATGGGTTTGGATTCTAGAGTCCCTGCAAATGAATCATTGATGAGCTTAAACGTTGCTTACAGCTGCGCGCTGGCAGGTACCTGGAACCAGAACAAGAGGACTCAAATACCACCTCTGCTGAGAAAAAGGGACCAGGTTTGAGACGGGCGCGCGCGCGCGCACACACCTAGAAATTAACCTTTGGAACCAAAAGGGAAGAAAAAGACCCCCACCCAAGCTGCTCCGTGGTGATGCTCGCGGGTCCTGGACCGTTAACAGAATGGCGTAGGAGGAAGGAGGAGAAATGTTTTACCCCCCCCCCCCCCCCACACACACACACACACACACACACACACACACACCAGAATCAAGTTAAATGATGATTGCGAGGAGGGGATGAAATCAGCGCGAGACGCGGCTGTCTGACGACGCCTTCGCGCGCCCCGACGATAACTTGACTGACAGCCGTCAATCAGAGGTGACGCACGCGTTTCAAAAGACTAAAGAAAACACGCAGCTCGTGCCACCACAGAAACCACACACTCCGCCAAACTGGGGACACTTGGACATGCACGTGCGCGCACGGGCACGCACAAAGGCGCACTCCGGAAGAGGAAAACGCGATAAAAAGATGTAAAACTCACCTTTGCGCCTCCACATCCTCACAGAACCGCAAAGAGCAGCAGGGAGCCGGACCCCCGGAACATTAATCCACAAACTGCTTCACTTAATATTTCCAAAATAAAACCAACCCGGCAGGAAAAATGATCTCCCAGGCAGCGCCGAGAGTTTAGAGTGTAAATCCAACAAGAGGAGCTCGCGGAGACAGAGGGAGCCGCGCGAGGTGCGTCCAGACCGGGTCAAAACGACACAATGAGGCGTTTCTCGGCCGCTCGCCGTCTCCTGCCACCAGGCCACGCCTCCTCGTTATCATAATAGATTGGTTAGAGCCAATCAGAGAGCCGGATCACAGGCTCAGACCCGGTACTTCCTCAATTTAAAGGGTATTCATATTTAAATGGTTGGTATGAACATAAATTATAATGAACGCAAAAATGAAATTGCAGCAAATTAGCTCAGAAATTATTCTTGTATTAATCTGTTCTGACAACAAACTGAAAAAACAAATTGTCTTTCTTTTTTCTCCTTTTTAAAGAACGCAGTTGATGCCTCGTTTACCTCATGAAAACACATCATTCTTGTCTTTAACTAAGTGCGAAAGCACGAAGAACTGCTCACGGGAGATATTTAGAAGTTGCACAGAAACAAAACCAGCAGAAATTTAATTTTTGGAGATTTTTTTATTTGGCTGATGAGTTTTCGGGGTTGCACGCTGGTGCATTTAGCAGCACTGTTACTCTGCAGCGAGATCATCACAAGTTTGAATCCAGACTGCAGTCTCTCTGTGCAGAGCATGCATGTTCTCCAAGTGAATTCAAGGATTTTCTCCATGAGTGTGTGGCCCTGTTTTGGATTGGTGTCCTATCAAGGGTGTTCCCCACCTCTTGCCCAATGACTGCTGGAGACTTGCTGCCCAAAACCCTACTGAAGAAAAGCAGTTAAAAAATAAAACTGAGTGACTGGTTTGGTCTTGGGCTGCACAGTGGTGCAGTGGTTAGCGCTGTTGCCTTGCAGCAAGAAGGTCCTGGGTTCATATCCTGGTCTGGTCTGGGGTCTTTCTGCGTGGAGTTTGCATGTTCTTCCTGTGCATGCGTGGGTTCTCTCCTGGTGCTCCAGCTTCCTCCCACAGTCCAAAAACATGACTGTCAGGTTGATTGGTCTGCCTGAATTGTGTGTGTGTGTGTGTGTGTGTGTGTGTGTGTGTGTGTGTGTGTGTGTGTGTGTGTGTGTGTGTGTGTGTGTGTGTGTGTGTGTGTGTGTGTGTGTGTGTGTGTGTGTGTGTGTGTGTGCTTGGTTGTTCGTCCTGTGTGTCTCTGTGTTGCCCTGCGATTGCGATGGACTTGCAACCTGTCCAGGGTGTATCCCGCCTGTTTGCCCGTTGACTGCTGGAGATAGGCACCAGCCAACCTCCCCCCCCCCCCCCCCCCCCCCCCCCCCGACCCTGCATGGACAAGGGGGTTTCAGATGATGGATGGATGGCTTGGTCTTCAAGACATGACCATCAGCTAAGCAGCAACGATGTAGAATACCTCCTCCAAGTAAAGCCACAGTTCTTGAATGGAAAAAGGTGAAATACTCCCAAATTGAGGCCATTCTTCGTCTCTAACAGATCAGTTAAATAGTTGTGACTTATCTTGTTTGTGACTTATTGAGTGCAAGATTAAGGATTCATCAATACCAGAAGAAGCTGGTTTAAGAGTGGCCCTCCCAATCTACTGGTCCCTTTATATTCCAGCTGTTACATACGGTCACACTAATTGAATAATGGGGGGAAAAAAATCTAAATTCCAGCAGCTTAATTGTACTTCCTTCTCAGCATTATGGGATGGAGCTCTTTTGTCAGAGCCTCTTCTCTCCTGAATCAAAAATGTAAGATGTGGTGGTGCCCAGTTGCATCCTTTTGGAGGTTTCCGTACATGTCCTGCTGGAAAAAGACCCCGAGGCAAAACTAGACTTTGCTAGAGGGATTACGTGTCCTCTCTGGTCTGGGGACATCTTGGAAGGAGGAGCTGGAGAGTTGTTGGACCTACCTTCTCTCCTGGACCTGTTATCTCCATTACTCAACTTTCAATAAGTGGAAGGAAATGAATGGATGGACGAATGAGAAGGGACCTTTGTATCTGAACTAAAAACATAATTCATTTGACATTTTTGCCTTTGCCAGAAAATCGAGTGATTTAGACAATCCAGTTGTTTTTCACACATATATAAACTCAAAATGCATGAAAACAAATTAAAAGATTAGAAGTATCTGAACCTGAGTTGTGTATTATCCACACTGAAACTACAACAACAATGAGAGGCTCGTTGACACTGGAGTGCTCCACTGTTGTAAAATTACTTCCTAGAGGAAACTTCAATTAAATTTCTGGCTCAAAAACTGAATTATTTCTCAGCAGGATAATTAGAGTTGTGTAAAAAAAAAAAGGAAATAAGAAGAAGTGGAAGAGATGCTGCAAATGCAGCAGTGGGATTAGATATTAAATTCCCTCCACAGCATCTCTGTCCGCTCATCTGTCTGTCCTCTAGATCACCCCCTCCTCCTCCCTCTCCTCTTCATCTAGCTGTTTATGCAAAACAACAAATTAAAGGATAGCAGGGAAGCCGACATCTGGGGAAATAACTTTTTGATTGTGCTTAGCGTTCCCGTGCTCCTGATGAAACTGTGATGTCTGCATCTTCCCTTTGTCTCCCACGCAACGCCCTCCCACATCTAGTCTCACGTACTCAAGCAACAGCAGCGGGGGGGAATTCAGGAGCCCTCTCCAGTAACACCAGAGGTAAATATGATCATCTGTATGACCGTTGTGGACAAAAACAGCTGTTTTACACAAGCGCATGGCACAACATAGAAGAGCCACCTCCACGGGACAGGACTCAGCAGTTCATTTGCATCTAAAGGACAAAGGTCACTCTTTCGAGGATGCCAACGTTCACATTTTGGACAGATGGTTTGAAAGAGGAGTAAAGGAAGCCATTTATGTCCACTGTGAACAACCATCTTTGAACAGAGGCGGTGGTTTACGACACCAACTGTCTGCCATCTATAATCCAGTTTTGAGATCCCTTCCCAGATGCCTCAACGCCCACGCATATCCTGGGCCATCTGACCTCAGGAATTCACATGATAGGTTGGGGCCAGGCTTCACAATGAGCTCACCCGAAACTCTGGCTGAATAGGACCCACCCTCACACCTTGGCTCATGTGTTTATGTAGAAGATCATCACGGGGTCTTTTGTTCCCTCTTCGGGGGGAAACTCCCACTGGGTTTGAATCTGGGACTCTCCACCATTTGACCTTAGAACTGACGAAGACTCTCGGATGAGAGGTGAAACGTCTTCAAGCAACTCAAAGAAGTCCAGACGCTTTTCTTTCAAAGCTCATTAGACTAAAATGACCTGGATGACTGAGAACCTTCACAGACAGTTTTACAATGCGTTAAGAAAAAATAAAGGTCTTTTAAACAAGAAAAACAATGCACAATCTGAATTCATGTTTCATCTTTCTCAGACACATTTCAACAAATTTTATTCTAATCCACTGGCTGCAGCAAAACCCCCATCAATTTACTGTTTGTTGTTTGTGGCATCATCACCGTCTGGGGTCCGATCAGATGTAAACAGTAGATTACAGCACCTATATACAGCTCAAAAATTAAATACCAGCTGGAGCGGAGATTCCTTGCCTGGACCATAAAGAATGAAATGCATGACATAAATAAATGCATGAGCTTTTCCATTTCACGCAGCCACTTCTGTGGCTTTTAGTCGTCGCTCTTGTCGGGACAGAATCAATAAATCAGACACGTTCAACCCCTAAGGGCTGAAACACAGGCGCTAAATCAAATCAGTAAATGTCATAAAACACACACTTTGACTGAGTTTTCTAAAGGAAAGCCTTCATCGGATCGCGTGAGCGCTCCCGTTGGAGCTCCATGGAGTTAAAGATGGAAGAAATGCATCAACCTTTGTGCTGGGGAACGCAAGCAGTGTTTCTATTTATTCACTGTGTTTCTGTAATGAATGCCACAGGGGATAGGAGCAACTTATATTTGGCTAAGAGGTGAAACGTGGCTGCATCTGAAGGAAACCCAGAAACATGCTCCATATGGCACTTCATTAATATTTATGTAAGCAGATAAAATGCAGACAGATTCAGAGTTGGGGAACAGCTGCTGAACATATACTTTTATGAATTTGGCCTTTGGTGGATAAATCGAAAGGAAATTTCAAATCTGATGCAAACATCCAAAGATTTTTCCAGTTGCATATTCAGAGTGTAGAGCTTGGGGGGGCGTCCTTTTTGGCCGCCATTGCTACTGTGAGGCTTTGACTTTGACAGATCTAACATTTAAAATGTTTGGACTGGTGTGTATAAGTATTTGGAATAAAGCTGTTGCAACATAAAAGTTGCCCAACTTCAGGAATGGGTGCACTTTCACCACGTCCTACATCCACCATCCATACGTCCATTTTCTACCATTTATTCAAGGCCAGGTTGCAGAATCCAGGATGGTATTCTTATCTGTTCCTACAGTGATGCTGTTCAGCTTCCCCACGGGGTACCAAAGTTTTCCCAGACCAGACGGGAAACACAATCCCTTCAGCAAGTTCTGGATCTGCCACAGAATCTCCTTCTAGTCGTGTGCCCAAACCACTTTAGATGACTCCTTTCAATGCCTGAAAGCAGCAACTACTCAAACTCCAATGGTAGACCAGCAAATTGAGACCATTTTGACACAGCCCCAGAGCAAGGATCCATCCGTACAAAAAGTCTCAATCACTCAGTCAACTCATAAAAAAGGCGTCAAAGATAATAAAACGTTTCCCATAGATCTCAAAAACAAGAATTGAGCCATTTTTACATGACACTTTCCTGCTGGAGCCATGTTTTCTAAACATAAGTGTCATGATAATCAAGTGGTTGGTTGAAGCTGAGGCAAATCTCCTAACCCGACAGCTGCTAAAGCTGCTATAGCTAATAGCAAAACAAGCTAAAATTATCATCCCTTCTGCTGGCTGTCATCCCCGGCCACGTCCACCAGAAACCCAGAGGGCACAAAACACCAGTAGCTGTCTTTTGTTTTCTGCGACATCAAATGGTGTTTTGGGGATTTTGGTAGTTTGTCCCAACACTAAAGTGCAGCAGCCGGCTGGTTCTCCTAGCTAGTCCACTTTGCAGATTTGCCATTGTAGTGTTAGGGTTCAAAAGCGGTTAAAGGACAGGTTGTCCCAGAGATGAAATGGTTTATGTGTGTAGGGAAAGCTGGCCT